AATTAGTCTCAATCTCAGGTGTTCTGGGTAATTGTATTTCTGTTTCAGGTTGAAAAAAAAATACCTCTGTGATTTAAAACGGCTGCTGCAAAAGCTGTTAGAATCACCACAAGCATTATTCCAGCACGGGTCTTGAGCAACCAAATAATTGTGTTGCCAGAGCTGCTCACATATATCAATGCGGAAAAAGAATAGAGCAGTTAAACTGGGACTAGCTGCCTGCATCGATGCACAGTGGCTATCATCTGGATCATAGTTTAAATTTTCTAAGCATTGTTTTAAACTGTTTTGGGATTGCATTGTTTTTTTAAGTATTTCCATTTAAAGAATATGGTCTCGTTCCATGTTAATAACTTTCTTGTTTGAAGACAGCTGGTCTTTATTGGAAGAGCAGTGATAACACTGCACTGCTTTGCACTGTGCCTGAATGTGCGCGGTGCGAAGGAATGCATCTTGAAGAAAGGGTAGGGGAAAAGCTTTGCTTTTAAACCTCGAGTTCCTTTACAGTGTGGATCACTTGATGGAGTAAGGATGTGCTAACTATATGTACTTTACCAGGTCGTAAGTCACTTCTGTCATGGCTGTCTGGTTTAGATAGCAAAGAAAGATAAAATAAATAAATGAAGCTACTACTTTTATTTTCCTTCTTTTTTATAGCAACTGCAAGATGTATTTTAATTTTAGGTAAAGTACAGTTGTGGTTGTCACCATTGTCTTTCATACAGAACATCTCATGAGTGTCCTCATCATAAATGAGAATAATTTTTAGGATAAAATAACGCTGTAGCCTACTTAAACAGTTTATAGCTATACATAATCCCATCTTTATGTGAATAAAGACAGAGCTGTTCATCTTGTTTGTTAAAGGACGTTCTCAGGAAGGCAAAGTGTATCAGCCAACAAGACCTCCTTCTAAGCTGAAACTTTCTGATGTGCAGCTGGTCTCAGGTAGGACACATACATTCTAAGAATACTTTAACGTTTACATACATATGAGATTGGTTTCATCTCAGAAAAGAACAAAAAAATCTCCTCAAGAACTGGGATCTCGTATCAAAACACCTAACTATCTGCTACCAAACAGGTGGGCTTGCATGCTCTCTCTTTCACTGCTTTTGGACTTATTTGAGCACTGCACTTCTATCTTTATGTTGAATCGTTTACACGAAAACCAATTTTCATTGGGCTGTTACTAGGAAAGACCTTCGTGTAGTGGACTTGCACAGCGATAAGCCAGGTAGCATTCACCTCTGGTTAAAAATGCTTACCAATGCTCATACTTCGAATTTACTAGTCCTATAGAAGTAAAGAGAGCGGATTGCTACTCGTGCCAAGAATGTACACACCTGTTTGTTAGAAATACATGGTTTAGTGCATGGACGAAAACTTCAAAATCCAAAGTTACTCATTGGAGCTCTGTGCCTCTTCTAAAATGGCATAATGAGGTTCCTGCGCTGTGCACAGAGCCTCAGTTATTTCTTAGAATTTTACCTGCAGTAAGTTTTACGGCTCTAACAAAATCCTGCCTTTATTTTCTGCATAACTCAGAAACCACATAGTCATTACCAGGTCTTCCTTGGGAAAGCCTTAGTTTTGTTTGTAACTGAAATTTTAGGTATGGAACTGGTATTGGGGCAGTAGGGTTGGCACGGCCAGGACTGACAAGCCGTGCAGGCGGACGGATGAGGCCACTCCATGTAAAACAGAGCAGCATCAAAGAACAGATTGTAAAAGTATTATTAAGGTCATTAAAGGCCGGAACTTTCATGCACATGGGTGGCATTGACAGCTGCCTTAAAAATGACGTTAGACTACACGGTCCTCTCTCCTACTACTTCTTTACTAAATGCCATTTTTAAGACTTTTTCAAGCGTATTATGTGCTTCCTCGGGGATGGGAGCTATAGTAATGGCTGTGCTTCACCCTGTGAAGATTTAGTGCCTCGTTGGACGTTTTTGGTCTTCCTGGCTGTATCCCATGTAGCTCAGAGGCAGGCCACAGCTAGACAGCAACAAAGCAAATGCTTCAAGGAGACAGTAGGTCAGGTAATTTGCAAAGGGAAGTAAAATACATTTTCCAACTAGTTTAACAAAACTCTCAAGTCAGGTGGCAATCCGACAGTAGATGTAGCCTTGAGGTGGTCAGAACTGGGAGGTGAGTTTCTGCCTCACTAAGAGACAGAGGCTTTTTTCTTCCACTGTTTGAAAACTGTTTTAATTAAGAGGCATGACGAGACAGGTGTTTGATTGCCACCTCTTCATGCAGATCCGAATCTAAATTCTAAAAGAGCTTTAGCAAATAATGCTTCTTTTCGTTTAACTTTTCAGGACAACAGCTCTCCCTGTCCTCTGAAATAAAAAGGCTTTCTTTTGAGGTTTGAGTGTCCTTTGCTTTCATAACTTGGTGACGAATAGGACGGTGATAGGAACTCTGCCCAGTTCCTTTCGAACACTACCTACTTTTATTCACCTAATAGGAGCTCAGGGAACTTTAGCCCTTTCTTAAAGACAATAACATGTTTTTCATCTGCCTGCCTTTGTGCATGACAACATTACGTTTGTTGGAAAAGTTCAGAGCTGTCAGTGGCTAATGCCAGAGACTCTATTTCTGACGTAGGTGCCTGGCGTAGGTCAGAAGAGACTGTTCACTTTGATGCTTCTCTTGCAGAAGGTACAGCTGGGAAGGCGAAGGCTGACTGTCAGCCCTAGTTTTAATGTTCGTAGAGCCGGTGGAAAAAGCACGCAGTGACAAATCTGTAACAGGGCCTGACACCAAACTCGCTTAACTTACTGGCATAAGCAGACCAAACGCTTTGGAGCGGGGACACGTGGAAGGTATTCGAAGGGAAGGTACAACTCAGTAAGGGGGGGCAGAGGGCGACAGGTAGAAAAGGAGCGTGTGATGGGATACACAGACATTGGTGTCATCACAGGTGCTTTGAAATATTCTGGCAAAAAAGGCCTTTATGATTGCTACATTTTGGAAGCTGACAGTTGTTCCTTTTTTAGTGTGTTTTTTATTAAAGAGATGCTTTTTGTCAATTCAGTAAATGGTGTTTAAAGAGGCTCTGTACAGCAGGCCAGACAGAGGAGCCCCTTTTTTTGTTTCACTGTGGACATTAAAGTGTGTTTATAGAGGTGTAAAGGAGGGGGTTTCGCAACGCTTGGCATTAGAAAGACGTCCTTAAGATGTGCTGGGTTCACCCCTCAATGAAACGTTCAGATTTGCACTTGGGATGACCCTGGCTAACATGGGATAAAGCACTGAAACGTTTGCAATACACGTAGTATTTGTAGGACATTACAGTAAGTAAATAAAAACAGTGAATGAGTCCAGAGATCCAGCCAGACTCAAAACTGAAGAGAAGGGTCAGCTGACGTTCATTTTTGCTTTCTAATAAGTCAGGGAGTACTCGCTTTAGCCCTGGGCTAGTTTCTCCTGCCTTCTAGAAACAATGCAGTACCTGATGTTGTTACATATTGCTCCACACAATCTCTTTGCTGCTTTTCAGCAAATTCAGCCAAGAGCATTGTGTGAGTGACTGAACCGTCAGCCTGGAAACCTTCATTTCCTTCATGAGGGGAACTCTCAAGTTCAGTTCCATTATTCCAGGCTGTGTTAAACATCCGCAGTAGCATTCTACGTAGGTTGGACTGGCCTGCCACAGAAGCCAAACTCTATTTACAGATAATCAACCGGGAGATCTCAGGAAAAAAGCACGTTCTTTTCCTGGTAGATTCATTGTTTACGGAATCTAGAATGCAGCAGAGATTAAACTTCTTTTTATCCACTAGAGTTAACTCATCAAAACCATTTTGTTCTTTTACAGTAAACAACCTACAGTGTGTTAATTTGCTGGAGAACATGGGAAAATCAAAGCAATTTTCATACAACATGAGACCAAGCACTGCTGCAAAATCAAAAAACACAAGACTCAAGCACTAAGCAAAACCGAACATTTGGAATTCAGAAAGCACGTTCCGGTACAACCATTATGTTTCATAATGTACAAGTCATCTACAACACATTAAACTTGAACACACTTTCAGTTTTGTATTATCTCAGTATTACATGCCAAGCAGACTTCTAAGGAGTTGGGACGCCTTTTGTGTACAAGTTAGTTTTTAAATGCAACTGTTAATTTATTTACTGACAGGATGAAATCTGAATTGCATTTGGAAACAGAAAACGAAGCCCTAAGCCCAGCAGTACAGTAGAGTTGCTGGGGCTCCCACAGGTTTCCGCGGTCCAAAGTGGGAATTTTGAATGTGTTCATCAAACGCAGTTTCAAAGGAGAGGGAAACTGTACTAAAGATGTAACAGTTCCAAAAGACTGCTGTTCCATTTCACCTCAAAGTTATTTAATGTATTTCAAAATCTAAACAGAGGAATGGAAGGACAGCCTTCACGCTCCACTTCTGTACTAAAGAAACAACTGTTTCTTAGCCAGCTATGGATTTGGAAGGAAAAGTAGAGATGTTGACGAAAGACACTCAGTAAATAAATTGCTTTCCACAGCCTGTGGAAATTGTTAGAGGTGTGTTTTATACCCTTTGATATTATCACCATTTTTTTTCCATATTAAGAACTATTTTTATACATGCAGAAAAAGAGTTTGTACAGAAAGCAAGAAAAGATGGGACCTATTCTAGAAGAAAACTTGTTCTTATTATAGCTTCGGAGCTGCCAGCGTACAGTATTTACCTTGCACAAAGTATTTAAAAATATGAACTCAGTAAAAATAAAAAATGTTACTCTAGTTTCAAAGTATAGTGTTTTCTATTTTTTTTTTGAGTTGGTATTGCATAATTCTAACCTTCTTATAATATGATGCTTCAAAATAATAAGATGATGGGAGTCAATATAAGTCTGTTTCTCTGCAAGTACTTAAGCTTCCAGGAGACTGGATTTTCTCTTAACACCCCCCACTGTGGTCACCACATCTACTCAAACAACTTCCAGTAACATCTACTCGCTCGAAAAGAAAGGCAACCGAGGTATGCAGTTCTTTGCAAAATTTTTATTCTGTTTCACTTACAAAAAAATTGACAAGCTTTGTTCCAACATCTTCCATTCAAAACTAAATAGAAGTAAATGCTTTACAATAATGCAGTTTGACCTCTTTAGTAGACTGCGTTCAGAGGGCCAGGTCCCTGGGGGTGAGAGGCAAGGTAGATGTTGAAACAGTAATGGAGGTCTGTTAGCCACTGCTCTTGGACTTCACCACTCTTCAGTGTCTGGAAAGCAAGGGGAAAAAAGGTGAATCTCAACTGCACCCACAGCGCTTGCAAAGCTTCGCTTTCTTTTGACAGTTAACCAGGTGCGCCGTTACAGGTACAAGGTGGCCTCGTTCACCTGCACACAGTGACGTCGTTCTCATTTATACGTTTCAACGTGGGACATCTGTTAAAGCCAAAATCATGAACTGTTACTACTTGGAACACTAAGCCAGCGTAACATTACAAAGCGTGTGAATTACATGAGATGCGATTTCCTTACTCCTAATTATAGTGGCTTGCTTACTTTCCAATTCTGCAATTTCTAGTCAATTAAAATGCAAATGAGCGTGATTCTACTCTACGCAGGAGAGCTCAGTCCCCCAGTCTACAGGAGAACTGCTACCAACAGGCCAACGTAGCCCACGGGCCAGTAACTCACTCTCCTTAGCGTTCCTAAGCAGTTAAAAAAAAGAAAACTCAGCGACAAACACGACCCACCCACACTGGAACATCACACAAACTGGTTGAGGTGTTTTCAACACCAAAGGAAACCGACCTCCTCAGTCGCTGTTGGAGAACAGCATACAATACTCTGACATCTGCTTTCCCCCCCACTGAGGTTGTGTTTCTGGTAGCAGACCTTTTAAAAGCTACTAACGGGATACGTGCGGCTTACTTATTCAAACCTGTGGGACAGAGTAGTTTTGAGGGCAGAGTTTGTGAGAGCTTTGAGTGAATGCAGTTTCAGATTATTTTTTTCTGAAGAGAGAAGCAACTGTCAGTCTCAAAACCACTGGAACGTAGACACATGACTAGAACCGCTGGGTTTTGCAAGATTTGAGAGAGAGTATATTTTGCACCGTACATACTTAAGAGAGCTTGTCCGATTTAATAACATCTTTGTACACCTACATACTCCTGCTCCAATAAATGGGAAAGACTAGTTTCTTATTTTGGGCCAGCTCTCCCTCAGACAGGCCGTGTGGGTAATCCGTTTCCAGTGCATTTCCTTAGGAAGCCAACCAGGGGCCCTGGACCGGGTGCAAGCTACGCGTCAAAACTCTCGTCTCTGCAATGACCACAAGAGTTCAGACAAGTAGCAGCTGCCTACGCGGCCTGGACTTCGAGACAAACAAAAGACAATCATAACTTGTGGTTAGCTAAACATCTGTTCTTCAGCATCTGCAATAATTTTTAAATAAACTTTAAATAAACATGACGTATATATCCTTGTAGTCTCTGGGAAACAAGAAGTTGTTTCATACCATGATGTCCTTGATAATCTGTTGCACCAGAAATTCATTTGTGATCATATGGCTCCTGAGCTGACCGTGTTGCATTAGTAAGCGAAGCAACTGAGCAACGATGGGCAGTTCTTCCCGACAGATCCTGCTCACTTGCAGACTTTGCAGCATCAGTCTCAGTAATCGTGGCAGGAGTGCTAATGCAGAAATACACGATCCCCACAGCATATCCCTAAGAGGAAAAGAAAACAAAAACTGAAATGATCCAGGACACGTATTTCAAGTATGCTTCTGTGAACTCACCTCCCAGCTGTGCGAGGAAACGTGCCTCTCTGGATTCAGTCGCGCCAACTGCCTTCACCACAATTAGTGCCAAAGCAGGAAATTTGTACCAGAAAAGGCTAAACTTGAAAATATTCTAAAATTATGTACAGCACTAGAAAAAAAATGTAAAGTCCTGCCCTGGAGCTACAAATGTTGCTGAAGCTCTTACACAGTGCGATTTCTGCTTTACGCAGCTGGGAAGAGGTTTCTGTTTCAGTCATTGTTCAGGTACGCCTGAATCTTTCGTTAAGACTCGTAAGAAATCAAACAATGGGATCAGCTTTTTGTGATACGCAAGCCATTTAATGCAGTAAGTGAAGGAGGACTCCAGCTTTAAAAACACGTCTTAAATATTAAGTAAGCTTTGAACAACTTTCTTGTATGTGGAACAGAGGAAAAATCTGAAGTTTAAACTGATGAGAGACATTTCTGTTATACAGGAAAATAAACTTACTTAAATCTGGTATCTGTAGCTTTGGGTTTTTTACATCAAATGGATTTGCACTCCATAAAATGATGCCTGAGAAGTTTTGTTAAAGCTGAAATATCGAGTCAGTTAAGAGTACAAGCTTATAAAGCCAAATCCTTTGTACACTGCTTTTCAATGTATCTAATGAAACTGAAGGCTAAAGGTAAAGATTAAGGCATAAATGTCCGCCTTTCTAAAGTCAGGTTGGTTCTGACAACTAACTAGAACCATTTGAGAGGAAACCTTCTTCAGTTATTGTTGTCAATAACTCCAGCTGACTTTGCAGCTGTTTTTCTTAAATCCAAGTACTGTTCTGAAGTGAGTGAGACAGAAGGATAAATTGGGGGGATGGGGGGTGGGGGGTGGAAATCCTTTCATTTTACATCTCTAAATACCTGTGAGTATAAAGGCAGAGACGATTAACATGGTAAAAGCAGCAGCATTACCTTTTCTGTACATGTTCTGCATCCTCTTTGTCTAAAGTCAGCAGAAAGTACAGAAGACTGTAACAACAAGAGGCTAAGAACTTGTGCAGGTTTTCACTTAGGATGCAAGCTTGATCCAAGAGCTTATTTATGGCACATAGAACAGATCCAGCTGTGCTATCGGGTATTACAACCAATCCAACCTGTATTCAAACAAACAAACAAACAAGTTCATCACTTGATACACAAGTTTTTGTGCTGGTATACAAGCGTGTCTGGAGCTGAATAAATCTCTCTCATATCATGACAAATATTACTTTGGTTCTGTTCAAGTTCTACGCACTACCACGTTTTTTCATATCCCTATTTTGCAAAGAAACTGCCACCCGTACCAACAGGTTAAACCAGCAGCTTCATTCCATCCCCTCTAAATAAACGCTCATCTCAAACGCAGGTAAAACACCGGCACTGCTCTGAGAGATGGTTCCGGCACAAACAGCATCTTTGGGACAGAGCAGATCTTTCCTTTGAAGCGTACATCATGGGACAGAGCAGCCCTCCCGTCCCTTGAAATGGCGGTGAGCAGTCACTGAGGTAGAAGGAAACTGGGATTTACTCTCCGGAAAGAAAAGCTTCTACTGGATTGTCATCAGGGTGAGTCTCCTTCGAAATCCAACAGGCTCGACAGGAATGGGAGCATTATGAGGCGACTTACATTAAAGCTAATGGAACATATGGTGGGCCCACAGCTGGGGTGACACTCTTCTGTTGTTAAAATGAGAACATCATCTTGAGTAAGGACTTTATAGGCATGATAAATAAGTTAGAAATAATAATTTTTTGCACAGAGGCAGTGAATTAGAAAGCAGTTTAAATTTTGAAGTGCTATTGAGTAACTACTCTAGATTTTTGTCCTGTAAAGCCGTAAAAAAAAATTCAGGCATTCCTAATGTGGCACCATTTATCTTATTAAAAACCTAATTTAAGGAGTTTTAGAGCAGCCTAATTTGCTCACCTGCAACTACATTGTTTTAAGTTGCCAGAGGCAGTTGCTTCACTTAACAAGGTCAGCTGTTTCTTTTAGAAATGTTAGAAAAGATCAATAAAGTACAAGCTACAGAAATGTGGAATTGTGCTGGGTTTGGCTGGGATACAAGTAAATTTTCTTCACGGTAGCTGGTGTGTTTTGGATTTGTGCTGAACACAGTGTTGATAACCCAGGGATGTTTTCGTTGTCGCTGAGCAGGGCTTACCCAGAGCCAAGGCCTTTTCTGCTCCTCACCCCACCCCACCAGCGAGGGGGCTGGGGGGGCACAAGGAGTTGGGAGGGGACACAGCCGGGACAGCTGACCCCAGTGACCCCAGGGATATCCCATACCATATGGCGTCATGCTCAGCATATACAGCTGGGGGGAGAAGAAGGAGGAACGGGGGGACATTGGGAGCGATGGCGTTTGTCTTCCCAAGTCACCGTTAGGGGTGATGGAGCCCTCTGTGCCTGGAGATGGCTGAACACCGGCCTGCCCATGGGGAGTGGGGAACAGATTCCTTGTTTTGGTTTGTTTGTGTGCACAGCTTGTGCTTTACCTACTAAACTGTCTTTATCTCAACCCACGAGTTTTCTCACTTTCACCTTTCCGACTCTCACCCCCATCCCACCGGGGCTGCGTGGGGCTGAGCTGCCAGCTGGGGTTAAACCACAACAGGAATGTAGTTCATTGGTATGATTACTCATGAGAGGAAAAAGATAAAAAACAACGGGTTCAAACTTTTCAATCCTTCCACGCTAAGACACCAGGGGTATTTCAAGGCCACAAGCGCAGGTCGCTGTCCCAAGCTGACCCTGCACCAGCCAGCTGCAGAGGTAGGAGAAGGACATTCCTGTGTGACAGAAGACAGACTGCAACTGTCACCAAGACCCTGCTGAATACTGCACGAAACTGAGGCACTAAATGATAAAAAAACCCCTAATAATGATGTTCCTGACCAACCACAAATAGGAATAATGATAGCAAGCTAGACTGATGTCTGCATATAAAGAAGCATCCTGAAGATCAAATTAGCCAACAGTGCTGATGAAACGTGCCAGTCAGCCAGTCTGGAAGAGGATGAGAACGCAGACATTTCAATTCATACAAATCCAGTAGATGAAACTGCTCAAACAAGCGCCCATATAGGACGTTGCTTACACGGTGCCTTTCTTCCCTGTTAGGTGTCGTCATCCAGTTAGAGATGTGGGCAGCAGCAGTCTAATCGACTATAAAAATCCACTGAAGTATTTGCTCTCGAAGGGACAGCACAGAAGAACACATAAGCTGATTTAAAAGTTGTGATTTAAGTCAACACCTGCCCCCCCAAAATCCAGCCTACAGTTATAGGTAAGCCAGTCCCTATGGAAGCTCTGGCCTAGTAATTTTTCAGTAGGGCTCCAGAGCGGGAACTGCAGGCAGCTGTTAGACCGCAGAACCACCTCGGCGGGAGGACAGACAGGTCCTCCCTCTCGGCAGGCAGCACCCCAGGTAACGGCAAATTCTGTCCGTTACGATTCTGTTACCCAGCTCTGGCTTTGCCAGCCCCATCCTCAGCTCAGGGAGCGTTCAGAATTAGAAGACGACAGACTAGAAGACTTGTCTAAAGCTGCTAGCAAACAAAACCAAACCAAGAAGCCTTTCATTTACAGTTGTCCTGGCTTGAAAACAAGCTGAACTATTCACAAATCAGCCAAAAAAAAAAAAAAAAATCCATGTAAGTTTGGATACCAACAGTTATATTTTTTTAAAACTCCGCTAATCTTGTTGAAAGTTTTTGCAAGTGCTGAAATTATACATGAAATATACGGAGTAAGTGGACGTGAAGGTTAATGAGACCGTTACAAAATTTATCACAAGGAAGTTAACCTAGAAGACAACACGGTACTTACCAGGTATTTACAGATGCCGGTCTGGAGAATGTCAAAACACTGACTTTGTGAAGGTATAGTGGACAAGCTGTGACAGATCATCTGTTTTAATAAAACAAAGTTATGTTTAAGTACTCTGAATGCAACCAGCAATCAATCAGTGTGTACTCATATTTTGTTGACAGACCTAAACCCAAAGTACCTACAGGGAGACGCAGCAGCTTTGTCTCAAAGTATTGATTCTTTACAGTGTGTAAGAGTAACAGTGTCAACAGAAATTGTTCAATGTTTAAAGAGATGACGGTCGACCCCAGTAGTTTTTTTGGTAGTGGCTTTCTTTGTTTTACCTATGTGATAGAAGTAGAAGGAGAAAAATACTCTACCCAGCTACAGCACCACACCGAGCCTCCACATGCCTCTCCTCAGAGCTGAAGCATTTCAGAAGACAACTTCACAAGTAACTTTATCAACCATGAAACAGAGGAATCGCAGTGAAACAGGACAGAAAAAAAAAAATCATATAACAAAGAAGAAAGTAGCAAATATTCATTTCCAACTTATTTTCCTCTACCCTGCCAAAAACATCATGTTCAAAGACAATACAAAATGTAATACTACAAAGGGAAATCTTGTTTTACAAACTGCCAAAAACTTTCTGGTGCTTATATCATCAGGCACTAGCAAACTGTATTAGCTGTCCAGAGGCATGATGGCTTTAAAAAAGAAGCTTTTTTAAAACAAACAAACATAAAAAAGCAAACAAACAAAAAAAACACACCACAAAAAAACTCACAAAACAAAACTGAAGACTCAGATCTTCATTTTTTAGTAAAAAACACTTGGGTGAGAATGGCCATGGAGGGGCGGGGGGGGAGGAAAGTTGACCAAGACCCCATGAAATGCTCTGTGGGTTCTGGATAAGGACAAAGAAAGCAGAGCTCCAGCAGACCTGCTAGTAAGCTATACGACAGTCCTCGGCAGATGGCTTGAGGAACAGGGAAAGCCTGTTCCTTCCCATCTATTTCAGTAACTTGCCCACTACTCAGAGAGCCTGGCTCAGCTCCCTCCTCACATCCGTGGCGTACCCCACCAGAGTGTCAGCCAGAGCCTCCAGAGAGCAGCGCCCAGAACGCGAGTGCCTGATCAGACCACTGGCAATGGTGACGTCCTGCTAAGGACAAGGAAGATGGAAGAACCAATATATGAGAAATGAAATCTTCTGTTTGCGCTTAAGGGAATCCGAAAGAGAACAGCAAGATCAGATGTTTGAGGGAAGGAAGAATTTAAGTCCCTGAGTTTCACAAATACCCTGACTAAGCAAAAACCATTCCTCTAAGACACCTTGCTGACTGAAGAAAGAGCTAAAGAAAACTTTCACAGAACGAGCCGACTTGAGGGATTAAATTCTGTGATAGCATCCTGGTTTTGAAACGGAAGTTGCATCAGGGCAGGTCAAGACAAGAGATCATGACAAAACAGAAAACATCACCCATGTTGGGTCAAAACCAATACTCCACAACATTTCCAGCTGAAGAGAGACTCCAAGGAAAGGGAAGGTTAGGAAAAGAACCGTTAACTCAAGATCCTCTGGTATGAAAACTCAATCCTAAGTAATGGGGATGCCAGTGGTGGCTTAATGAGAAACGGCCAAGCAGTATCGTTTGTGGTGATATCGAAGTGTGCTCAGCTTTTCTCAAAAAGTCACGCCACACATGCTTTTAGCCCTGCTTAAGCTGGCCAAATTCAGGCGATCCTTAACACATCTGCTTGACGGACATAATACTGTCAGGACACTGCTCACGTTGATCCGTATTATAGGTGTAATTGCGCAAATATTTTGTTTGATTAGTAGGACTAAAGACAATTTTATAGATACTCTTGCACTGAATGCCCTTGTTTTGATACTATACATTTATTTAATAGTGAAATAATATAATTAAAACTGTGTACTCCATCCTAGATACGGTAGTGCTTCCGTATACTGCAATTTGAAAGGGATCAAACATTAAGTACTCTGGAATATTCCCAAGAAATGGGCTCAAAACATCTGCGTATTAACAGTGTCAAGGAATAAAGTCAAGCTGAGACAGAGGTTACTACTGGGGATTGTCATGTCAAGGGCAAACTCTTGACGCCAATCTGACCTCGTATTTTAACGAGTAACGCTTACACAAAAGGTAAAAGCTACATTGATGAAATCTGTCGCCTGACAGCTCAAAGTTGAGCAACCTGCCAAGACAGGAGGATTGGACTAACCTATAGAAAAGATCGCACGGGTTTGATGAATAACAGATACAGAAAAAAGTCAGTGAAACACAAGTGGCGGGTCATGCGCTTGGAGACTAATAAAAACTTCTGCGTGCAGCTAGGAGTTTTAACAGTTGGAAATGAGGAGAAAATTCTGTGCGTTAACAACTGACCACAAAGTGGTTGTGATACAACTGTAAAATGGGCAAATGTCACTTTAGGATGGAAAAATAATCACAATAGAAGCCATCAGACAGAGTACTGATCGTCTCATCAATACTACTCCGTGAGACCCTACTTAGACCATTTCTGACATACCTTGCAAAATAGGAGTCACTCATTTTCAAGAAAGGTAAATTCAAACTGAATGAGCATAGAAAAATTGCACAAAGGACAGAGATCCTGTCTCACAGGCGTCAACGGAAAGACCTGAACCCGCCTAGGCTGGCAAAACTATAGCCGAGAAGGGATATTCTCGTCACTTACAAATCTAACAAAGAGGTGAAAACCGCTGCAGGGAAACAAATATAAGCAAACAACCACAAAAAGTAACAATGATCACAGCTGGCTGGGAATGCAGATGAGATGGAAATTAGGCAAGACGATTATGAAAGGGGCAACGCAGGAGACATTTGTTGCTGCTAAGACAGAGCTTAGGAGGGTTACAAATGCGGTGTGCCATATACTCGTCAGCACATGATGCTACGCACAGAGGCCAACAAATTAAAGACCTTGAAGGCAACTCCACCAGGCCCACCCAGCAAACTAAGGTTTTTCATTATTAATAAAACCATTATTAACATTTCACCCTTAGGACTACATCCCTAGAACAAGCCTAACAGTCCGCTGAGGTTCTCCCTGAGATGACAAGTTGTAGGAGAATTTTGTAACAGATACAATTCACCGACACTCAGATTCTTCCAGAATTGGCAAGGAAAACGGGCATCGTACCATTGAAGAGCAGCATGCTTGCTTAGAAGGGTTGCGGTAAAATGCATTGGCAAGTTGGTTTTTCAGCCTTTTAGGTCTTTCTGACCCTCAAAATAACGCAACCATTCCCTACATCCAGTTTTGTTTTCCTACAATTAAGTGGGAGTGGCGATCCTTTTCAATTCCTTAAATTAAATCCTGCTTGAAATGGCTTTCATAACAAATGCCTGTTATAAAAAGTGAAACTGAAACGTTATTAGACATGGAAATGAAAAGCAAAGAAAACTTAATTATCACATGAAAATTAGTATTTTTCCTGACAATTTATTTTCCTTAGGCAAGGGTTTGCATGATGTTTAATTTCCATAATAAAATGTCACAGCTGATTCATTATTTTACATTTGATTAGCATTTATCACATTTTTGGTGCGTTCATAGATTGGTTTTGGACCAAAGCCAGAGTAGTTTTGTTTCAGAGTATTACTGAAGTGAATACACAGAGAACGAGTGTTTCTGATCGTAGGGTGGGGGTTCTATCTTTTTGAGACAAGTATTTTATAACAGATTTGGTTTGGAGGTTTTGGTGGTTGGGTTTTTCTTCATTTTTAATTTTGTTTGAATGTCCACTTGAATAAATTAAGCCAAAGAAAAGCATTCTCTTAAATACAGAGATTGTCACTGTTAGCATTAGGCAGCAAATACTACAGACCCTATAATCGACTGGCAGTTTTTTCAAACTAACCCTTATTGATCAGACAAGCCCAACTACCCAGGATACTCCTGAGCCACACAACTACAAGAGCAGGTTCCCTACTCATACTTTAGGAAATAGTTACTACACGAGCCTCCTTGTCTGGTATACTTCAACAGTAGCCAGCTAAAATGGGGAGGAGGAGAAGGAAAAAAAAAAAAAAAAGACTGGGAAGGCAGCCCAGGAACCCTCTCTGGGCTTTTTGGAGATCCTGACACCATGGAGATTTTAGTCGAGGCTTCAACTGGATAAATTAAAAGCATTTTTGCTGCTGACAGCGAACCTGACTCTTAATCCAGTCTGAAGCAGGCTTTTCATAGCTGTAATGTATAAACCATCAGTTAATATTAGCTTATCTCTAAGCAGAGGAATAATCCATCAGATTATCCATCCATCAGTAACACATCAGAGGAATCCATCAGTTTAATATTGCTTATCTGTAAGATGCTCTCAGCTCCGAAAGGCAGAGTTGGGATGACCTGAGGAAGCCCAGTCTCAACCCGAGCCCTCATGGCAACAGGAACACGCACAAATGATGAACCAAGAGTAATGTTCTGCTCATTATTTAATCGTTCCCACTCCCTAAATCACTCAATGCTTCCGGTAACACGATAGAATCCTGACTCAAAAAGCCCCCGGGGAAATATTTTACCAGTAACACTTCAGGGAAAATCTGCATATTATTTCAAGCTTAATCATGCTGCTGAGTACTCTCTTTCAAAGAAAAATACTCACCTTCCTCTGAAGACACACACACAAGCGTGAGCACAGAGAGGAACCATGCAAGCAGGAAAGATAATGGATCAAGTATTTTAGCAAGTTACTCTGTGGAGTCGGACGAAAGACACTTCAGACTCCAAGAGAAGTGATTTTATTAAAAAAGTAAGTTGGCACACACCAGACACTATATCCTAATGTGAACTTTAAAAATGTATTTTTCAGTTCACATTGACATCCACCTCAAACATGGGTAACTAAAATGTAACAGGCTGTTCTGCAGTCAATTCCCAAGCCCTTGTGAAATGACTGTTTCGAGCGGGACTCTATCCCGTGTAGCATGTTACTGCAGAGCGTAGAAAACGAGAAGTTTTCAGGTGATGGGGCAGGCAATGAAGCTTGTCGTCTGAAGCTTGGCCAGCTTTCCCCGAAGCACCCTAGCTTATCAGACAGTGTA